GAAGCCTACATTCCCTCTTGGACCTGAGTTGCCTAAACAATTCTCAAACTGAGGTTCCACATGGGCTCCTTGGCTTCCATCTTTCCATCCCTGGATTGAGGAAACTGAAACACCACCCTTGACTTACAGAACACTTATTTTTACATCTCTACCTTCTGCAGCCACACGATTTATCAGGTTTGGAGTTAGTGAATGCCACTACCAGTTCACTGCTTTCTCCTTCAGCCTGCTGGCAGTCTCCTGAGTCTTCACAAAGTGTATGGCAGTAGTAGCAGCCTTCTTCAGACAACAAAGCATGCAAGTCTACCTGTACCTCAAAGACTGGCCTATCAATGGTTTGCCACAGGATAAGGTGCAGGACAGCATCCGCGGCCACTTTCCAGGTCCTGGGCCTGCTGATAACTAACAAAATGCTGGTCCTGGTTCAGAAAATAGTTCACTGGGGGCAGTGCTCGATTTGACTCAACCTAGAGCAGTGTTTCTTAAACTGTATTCCGCAGTACACCGGTGGGCCCGATGCAGTCGGAGGTGTGCCGCGGAGAACAACAGAATTCAAAATGGCCACCCTTCAAGGGGCAGGTGACTTCCCCCCTCCCCTTTTTTTTTGGTCAATAACTTTCAATAACTTTTCCCTGCCCCCCCCTCCTTTTTTTTTTTTTTGCTCAACCAAAGAATCCTCTTGGTGTTTCTCATAAAAAAAAAAATTGTTTGGAGTTCCTCAGCCTTAAAAAGTTTAAGAAACTCTGACCTAAAGCCTTTCTGTCAGATGCTCGATTCTGGACTGCTATACCTGATCTCCAGTGTCATGGTCCACCCAATGATGATTGCTCAAGTCTGCCTTAAACTATTGGGCTACGAGGCAGCATGTCTATGCAGGATACAGTACAGTGGGCAGTGCTTCAGGCCCCTCCAGATGTGTCTGGCATCAGTCTATTTCCCCCACAGACACCTCTTCATCTCAGTACTCACAGTTCTGCATCTGGTCCTCACTTCCTTAGCCTGATGGAAAGACCCAGGACCAGTAATGAAGGGGGTTCTCTTTGCCCCTCAACTGTTGGTAGCCTTAGTCTTGGACACGTCAGACCTAGGAGCCGACCCAGGGCCTTAGTCCCCAGAAGAACACTCCTTATGTATAAAAGGCAGGGAACTCAGGGTGGCATGCTTAGTTTATCAAGTGTTCCTTCCCCAGGTCTCAGGAAAAGTGCTGCAGGTCCTTACAGATGATATCACATCTGTGTTTTACATCACAAAGTGAGGAAGGCTTTGATCTGCAGCCTTGTGCAAGGAGGCTCCTTCTGCGGGACTTGTATGAAATACGCCATTCATCTTGAGGCAAAACAACTCATAATATCTTGAAATGTTGTGGTAAATCACCTTAGCAGATCCTCTTCCTCTCACCATGAGTGTTCTCTTCACCTGGAGGTCATCAGTGTCGTCTTCCAGGGTGGGGGACCTCCCCAGGTGGACCTTTGCACAACCAGGCAGAACAGGAAATGCTATCAGCTCTGTTTACTGTGCGTGCACAGCACAGTCTCCCTCTGCAATTCCTTTCTGCTCTCGTAGGCGCACCACCTACTGTATTCCTTTTCTCCAATCCCTTTGGTTCACAACATTCTGCTTAAAAATTTAGCTGAGTTATTCTGATAGTACTTCTGGACTGCTTGGTAGCAACTCCAGGATCATGAGCATAAGTACCCTGCTTGGACTCGATTTCACAAGACCATGACAAGTTGCTTTGCTGGAATCTTGTTTCCTGCACCTGATTGCGTGGATGCTGTGTGGCTGATCCTGAGGAATAGGCTTGTCCAGATCAGGTTTGACAGGTCTTCCTAGATAATAGCCTTCCACCAAGGTTACCTGCTTGGCCAAGTGCAAACATTTCACTTGTTGGGCCTCTGAACAGAATCTCTATCTGTACATTCTATCTTGAATTGTCTGCTCTACCTAAGGCAGTAAAGTCAGGACCCTCTTGTCTACTAAGGTTCATCCAAAACCTGGGAATAAGTGACTGAATGGAACACTTGATTACCTGTTCTATTCATTCCTTGTGGGGCACCTGGCACTGGCCACTGTCAGAAGACAGAACACTGGGCTAGATGGACCTTTGGTTTGACCAAGCATGGCCATTTTTATGTTCTTATTTGACAGCCATCTCAGCCTTGCACTCTCCAGTGAATGGCAGGTCAGTGTTTTCCCACAAAATAACAGTCCAGCCAGGAGCTCAGGAGTTCCCTCACTGCTGCCCCCAGCGGCCAAAAGCACAGGGGTTTTTCCCCCACTGAAAGCTCTGAAGGCCCCTTCAACCCTAGCAGTCATGAGATGGGAGGGCGGGGGGGTTCCCCCCTGTCACCAGCAGCTTTGGGGTTTCACCTGCTGTCCGTAGCATCTGGGAGCAGTGGAGGATTCCATTGCCTGTGGAGGCTTGGAGCTCATGGGGCCGCCAAAGACAGTGGGGTGTACACTGCAGTTTCATGCTCCTGCAGATGGTGCGGGACCCTATAGCTCCCACCATCATAGGCCAAAATCAGAGGTTGCTGGAAATCACAAATTCTGGGATTTCTGTGACGTCTAACTATATTGTGGCTTGAACCATGATCAAGTAGAGTTTAATGACACTTGGGTTTGTAATCTGTATTCCTAATGGGAGTTCTTAGGGCTTTATATGTCTAATATTTTGTTAGGTGAAATTAAGTATATTTTCACCTTTTGGGTAGATATAAACAATAATTAATGTCAGGACACAAATTAATGGGATATATTAGGTATAATGTATGGCACACAATGTTCAGATGTGGTAGAACAATTAGTTACTGCTTTGACTTTTTTTCCCTCCTTTTTTGAGGAAAGTCTTATGTTAAATTTGCATGGCCAGATGAGGATAGGGAATTCCAGCGTGAGATTGTCTTCTGCTTGTTTGATGCAACCTTTGAAGTGGAAATTTCCTTTTAAAACTTTACTGTTAAGAAAAGAACAGCTGGCCCAGAGGTGGATAGAGTAACAGGGGACCTTTATTGCTGATACTCGTTCAGTCGCAGATCCCTCTTACCTGGGATGCAAGTGAGCAACAAATTGGCCCAAGTATACCTTTTTATCTTAGTTAGTATGTAAATACACTGTGGCTACATCTACACTGCAGGCTTCTTGCGCAATAACTATTTTGCGCAAAAATTCTTGCACAAGATCATGTCCACACTGCCATGTGCTTTTGCGCAAGAGCGTCTATGGCAGTGTGGACGCTCTCTTGCATAAGAAAGCTCTGACAGCCATTTTAGCCATAGGGATTTCTTGTGCAAGAAATCCCTGTTGCCCGTCCACACTGCCTTCTTGCGCAAGAGGGCTTATTCCTCATGGGGAGAGGAATAACTCTTGTGCAAGAAGCCTTCTCTTCTGATGCTTTACTGTAAATTTACTTGTGTAAGAATGCGTGTGCAGTGTAGATGCTCTTCAAGCTTTTGTGCAGGAACAGCTGTTCTTGTGCAAAAAGCTTACAGTGTAGAGGTAGCCTTATTGATTACATCACTTCTTAGGCCCTGATTTAGTAATGTGAATACCCATATGCTGCATAATCATAACCATGTGGTGAATATAACTATATCTGCCACTGTTTACAGCTTTTAGCTGATGTCAACAGGTTTCACATCATAAAACTCCTGGTACCAGCAACTTCAAGGGGTACAGGATACGTGACCCTGAATGTATAATTCACAACACATAAGGGAGTAAGGAAGATAGCTTTAGCACCTAGGTCAGTGGTTCCCAACCTTTTCATGCATAAGGACCCCTTTTCAATCTGTTAAAATTTTATGGTACTCCCCCAACCCCCCGCACTTTTATTACAGTGTACCCCATTAATTTGCTTTTTTAACTTCTTTTTTCCCCTATTTCCATATAACTGGGGGCAGACTATGGAAAATTAACACTCTACAAATTTACTAGCTATGTTAAGGAAATAAAAAATTTCTGGAAAACTCTGGGCTGTATGGAATGATTGGTTTTGAACATATTAGAAGTAACATTAGCGCTTCTTTATGAAAATACTGACAACAATGTAAATCACCTTTTTAGAAGATAAGGACTCTGGCTTGTGAAAATGAGGCAATATTTGAGGTAAAGCTAAATAACTGCACACCTGATTACAGGAATTAATATAATGCAAACCATTCTGAATGAGCATGGAAGAGTCAGTGTGACAGACCCCGCTTGAGAAATTTGCATCTTTCTCACTGTCACTGTGTAGGGTTCAACCACTGTTACAGTACCGATGCTTCTCTGACCATAAGAAATACCTAACCTGTGTAGCACTGTCGAAATGGACAGTGCAGGGGAAGACACATTCCCTGTTAAGTCAGTAGCAAACTTGGCTGGCATTAGAGAGTAGTAAGCCCTTTGAACTTTATAAGGTATTATGCCTCACACCATCTCCAGTGAAACATTTGATCATGCTTCCCTCACACTGAAAAACCCAGACACACCATTTTTTGAGGAACAAATGCTTCCTGGAACTTCCACCTGGGCAGTGTCTCTCCACATTACTTTATATGCTTCATGTCACCATAATATCTAAGAGCTAGAGCCTAAAAATGAATCCACACAGACACACTTCAGCGCCCACGGAGGTTCATTGTCAGGATCTTGCCCTGACAGTCGCTAAACCTTTCAAAAGAATGTTTGGGTGCTTAGTTAAATGTATATTCTTGGTTGTGCTAAATGCTGGTTTATGCTATAGGCATGCTGGAGGTATAATTGGACATATTTGCCAGAGTCGTGACACATTTCTGGGGGAAACTGGGTGCTGTAGGCTAAGTTTTTGCTGGGTGTCTTGGTGAAGGTTGTTCTAATTAGATTTAGGAATGCTGGATTAATATGACTAGCCCCTTTGGAGCTAATTGTTTCATCCTTTTTAGCCTGGGGAATTTTAAGTTGGAAGTGTAGTCCATAGTGTGCTACATTTGTCTTCCTTTATGTTAAAATTACTCCTTCCTTTTTACTGTTTCTTGCAGGCCAGCCCTCCAGATCTGTATATTGAAAGATTTAACATAGCTCTTGGGCAATATATGGGAGCATTGCAGAGCATTGTGCCTCTTTTCATATATATGGTAAGTTTAGAACATTCTTTTTGTATAGAATATCTATGCACGTTGAGATGTTAATAGAAAGCGTAAAGAGCTAAATGCAACTTTAATGTCCTAATTTCATTAAAAAATAAGTATTGTTGTACTTGCTGCTGGTATTGCATTTAGGATTAAATCTAGGAAGATTAAAAATAATGCACTTAAATTGACAGTTTTTGGCTATTTTTCTGCTTTGCTGATGTTTTCATAGCAGAAAGATTGATATTTTTTGATTGGCAACCAGTGTCAACTTCTGTGTAATTTTTAAAATATTGTGAGTTTGGCCAGCTCATAGAGTTTTTAGATGTTGGTCTAGTAGTTTGTATGCATTACGGAGAAGGAAATATCTCTCTTTAGGTTGCACAAATTCTATAGGCCTACCGAGCTTTCTTGCAGATATAGAAAAGGGAAAAAACCACACAGTCAAAAAACCAGCCCAGTCTCCCTCCCCATATAGTCTCTTGGAAGAATAAATAGCCATGTTGATCATGGAATTGAGAGCATCAGTTGCACCAAAAAAATTTGTTCACAAATCTTAGTTTGAAAGTATGTTTGCAAAAGCTCTAAGCTCTCTGAACTACAGCTATTGGTTGTATAGATTTTGTAACTTCCTGCCTGTGGTGCTCATAAGCTCTTTGATACCTATGCATTCTATGGGCATCTGTTGGAGCACCAAGACTTATATTTTTTTAATGAATAACTAAAAAGAAATAATTGTATGTTATCTTATAAAAATAATTCATGATTTGGACCTCACTCAAAAATATGAATAGAAGGAATATTTCACTTCTAGACCACGGAAACGTAAAAATAATTCATGATTTGGACCTCACTCAAAAATATGACTAGAAGGAATATTTCATTTCTAGACCACGGAAACGTATTTTTAGTTAAGATTTTCAAAAATGTCTTCTGTATCTCAGGCTCTGTTTAAAAAAAAAAAATCCCTCTGCTAATTACAAAACAGTTCTTTAGAAGTACAAAAAAGTTCTTTAGAAGAAGGTAGGGTGTGTGTGTGTGTGTGTGTGTTGAATTCACTTGTCATAATTTTAGGTAAGGAGTAACTTTGGTATCTTTATTATAATCCTGCACGTTATGAAAGGAGATGGGGATTCTTCAGTCCCCTCCATGTGGACCAGTGTGTAGTGGAGCCAGGAAGCATGATGAAGATTCTCCAACCCTCTCCTTGGGAGCAGGCACTGGCTGTTCTTCTTCGAGGATGTCCCTGCGGGTGCTCCACTGTGGGTGCTGGGCTTGCCCTGATGCTGCAGACGGAGGCTTGTCAGAAGCAGTATCCGGCTGGACCGCGCATGTGGCGCAGGGCTCGCGGCTTTCACACACTTTTCTTGGAGTGCGGTCCGGCCTCCCTCCAGTTCCTCAAGACCGCCTCAGGCTGCAGACGCTTAGAACCGCGCTCTTCACTTCAGCTCTTGGAGACTAGCGTGCTCTAGTCTTCCGCTGTATATACTTCCAACTACTGTTTCTTCCCCTCCCTGCCTGCTCCATTACTTCTTTGTTTGTTTTGTTTTTAAACTAACGCGGCGGTGTTACTTTCCATCTCTCACAGCTGTTTCCTGGTTCATCTCCTGTACATAGTTGCTCCTTTAAAAAAACAAAAACAAAAAAAGTATCCTTTCTCAAGAAGAGGAAAAGCTCAAACAGACTTTACTCCCTGGTCACAACAAAGTACCCCCTTCACCCTGACTTACAGGCTGAACTATCTGACCACTGGCTCAAACCTGCCATGTCGACTGGCTTTAAGAAATGCGGCTCTTGCCGGGAGGCAATGCCAGCATTCAACTGCATCAAGTGTCTGGAGGAAGCTTACATTCCCCAGAAATGTCCCCATTGCTGCAAACTTACCTCCAGGGTTAGGAAGGAAAGAGAGAGGCGCCTTCACGTGCTCCTTTTTGATAAAGCCCTGCAGCCGCAGCATACTACTACCGGGAAACAGCTGAGCCAGGAAGCATGATGAAGATTCTCCAACCCTCTCCTTGGGAGCAGGCACTGGCTGTTCTTCTTCGAGGATGTCCCTGCGGGTGCTCCACTGTGGGGGCTGGGCTTGCCCTGATGCTGCAGACGGAGGCTTGTCAGAAGCAGTATCCGGCTGGACCGCGCATGTGGCGCAGGGCTCGCGGCTTTCACACACTTTTCTTGGAGTGCGGTCCGGCCTCCCTCCAGTTCCTCAAGACCGCCTCAGGCTGCAGACGCTTAGAACCGCGCTCTTCACTTCAGCTCTTGGAGACTAGCGTGCTCTAGTCTTCCGCTGTATATACTTCCAACTACTGTTTCTTCCCCTCCCTGCCTGCTCCATTACTTCTTTGTTTGTTTTGTTTTTAAACTAACGCGGCGGTGTTACTTTCCATCTCTCACAGCTGTTTCCTGGTTCATCTCCTGTACATAGTTGCTCCTTTAAAAAAACAAAAACAAAAAAAGTATCCTTTCTCAAGAAGAGGAAAAGCTCAAACAGACTTTACTCCCTGGTCACAACAAAGTACCCCCTTCACCCTGACTTACAGGCTGAACTATCTGACCACTGGCTCAAACCTGCCATGTCGACTGGCTTTAAGAAATGCGGCTCTTGCCGGGAGGCAATGCCAGCATTCAACTGCATCAAGTGTCTGGAGGAAGCTTACATTCCCCAGAAATGTCCCCATTGCTGCAAACTTACCTCCAGGGTTAGGAAGGAAAGAGAGAGGCGCCTTCACGTGCTCCTTTTTGATAAAGCCCTGCAGCCGCAGCATACTACTACCGGGAAACAGCTGAGCCAGGAAGCATGATGAAGATTCTCTCCCCCTCTCTTTGGGAGCAGGCACTGGCTGTTCTTCCCAGCTTAATCTCTTATACCAGCTCGCGCCCTCCCCCCCCTCCCAAAAACAAAGGCAGCTCTATCCATATTCCCCAGAGATTTGGAGATTTACTTGCTGGTACAAGCTGAGACCATTTTCTTTCCAGCTCAGTCCCCTGAAATGGGATAGGAGAAGCTAGTGAGAGATGTCTATACCTCCTTGATTTACTACATCTTTGTGGTGATTAGTTGGCCCTCCTAAGTGTGCAGTGCTTGCTTTATACGTACTATGTGAGAGTCAGTTGCATTATCAGGATATGCTTTGAGCTTTCTTTTATTCATGACTTAGAGCTCATATCTAAAATAACATAATATGTTTTTAATGTCAAGTACGTGTTTTTTACAAGAAGGTAGATTTATTGCAGGTCAAAAGCTGTTTTTTTGAAGATCACATTTGAGCTTTGCAGTAATATATTCTCTTACTTATAGTAAATAAAAGTTAACATTATACTCAGGTACTGATTGCTGTGTCGGTTTCCCCATCCTTTATTTGTTGTTAGTAGTGATAACAATGTTATTTTTGCTAGTGTTCATTCCTTTGAGGGGAACTTTTTAAATTCAGTTAGTTTTGTGGTAGAGAGTTTTTGAGTATATTGTTTACTGCATCTGAAAATAGTAAGTGAAAAATCAAATTGTCAGGATTAAGGACTTACTGCTTAGACACTATAGATGTTTACTATGTAAGTAGTAAACAGGCAGGTGGTAACTACAGGCAGTCCCCAGGTTACGTACAAGATAGGGACTGTAGGTTTGTTCTTAAGTTGAATTTGTATGCAAGTCGGAACTGGTACATATTTTTGGGGGGGACGGGAAGCTGGAGTTAGGTGGAAAAGACCCTGATTCTCATACAACTTCCTTATTCTAAGAAAAACACATACTGTTTTGATATGAAGGGTTTTTTTGGTTGATATTTTAATTAAAAATTGATCATAAGTTTCAGTGTTTCATGCTATATCCAAATCTTCCTTTTGGGGTACCTGAAAGATCCCAGTTATTCATTTAATAGTCAGAATCTTTGTTTTTTATAACTTAAAAAAAGTGTATTCAATGCATATTACTGTTCCAAATAGAATTTGCTACAGATGGTTCAGTGAAATGGGTATTAAGTGTAATCAATAGTCATTGGAGAGCACAGTGAAATGTGTATGATCAAAGCTGTTGTTGTATTCTGCTGAGCAGAAAATGGAAATCCCTTCCTGGTAAGTGTGTGTGTGTGTGTGAGAATTTATCCACAGGATTAATTTTAAAGAAAAATTCTGTGTTGGGCACAGGAGTTTAGCCACAGGTGGGTCTTCATTGTCCACTCACCCACTTTGCAACCAGACCCATCCCCTTGGGGCTTACCCTGCTCTGCTCCAGCCAGGGTGTGGGGTTGGGGCTTATCCCCTCTTCCCTTCTGTCCTGCTCCTCCCCATTCTTGCCCGCCCACACCTCTGGGTAATTTTTCAGCTTCACCTCTGCCAGGCTGGAAGGGACTTGTTAATTTCACGTGACGCTAACAAGATACTTGCAGCTCTAGTGCTGAAGAGGGGAAGGTGGGGACTGTAACACAATGGGTCTCACTGCCTGCTGCTCCTGCTGTTCCCTAGGAAATTAATTTTTCTGCTCTGGGGTGC